GGCCATATCTACTTTTCTTCAGGTCACAATTTCAGTTATAGTCTTTAATTTTTAATCAATGAATTTATTCAATTTCTACCACTTGCATTCTGTTCCCTTCTTATATTCTCAATTAACAGCACTTCAGTTTTCTTTTAGTACCCAAGTAAACATTTGCAGTTTAACTGAACAAATAAAAATCTGAAGCTGCTCTGATCCCTCCCTTTCCAGTCCTTGGGATCCATGATCTGAATCAGTGATTCTCAACTAGGGGCTATTTTGCCCTTCACCCTTCACTCCCCAGGGGACCTTAGACAATGTCTGGAGGCATTTTTAATTGTCACAATTAGGGGTTCTACTGGCATCCAGTGGGTAGAGGCCAGAGATACTGCTAATAATCATTCTACAGTGCAGAGAAGCCCCCTCCCCATCAACCAAGAATTATCTGGGCCAGACTTGGTGGTTCACACCCATAATCCCAGTACTTTGGAAGGCCAAGGCAGGAGAATCACTTGAGGCCAGGAGTTCAAGACCAGCCTGTGCAACATAGCGAGACCCTGTCTTTAAAAAAAAAAAAAAAAGCCAGGCATGATAGCTACTCGTGAGGCTACTCCTAGCTACTCATGAGGCTGAGGCAGGAGGATCACTTGAGCCCAGGAGTTTGAGGCTGCAGTGAGCTCTGTGATCACACGACTGCACTCTAGCCTGGGCAACAAAGCAAAGACTCTGTCTCTTAAAAAAGAAAAAAAATGAGTATTTCTTCCTCTCTGATAATTTTAAAACTGTTTCCCTTCACTCTGACTACTGAATCACCTATAGAGCCAAATCTGAGGCTCAACTATATCTCTGTAGGCCCTAATTGCCTGAACATTTGTGTATTTCCCATCCCTAACCCAGCTGGTCTTAATTCATATTTTCATTTTCCCCATTCGGGATTCTCTGGTCTTATTTATTATTTTACCATCATGTTATTAGATCTGTTCTTCCCATAAGTTATGACAATTAATGTATAAAATGTGGTCAGGATGAATAAAAAGTGAGGACAAGTGACAAGAAAACAATTACAATAGTATTGCTAGATGTATGCACTAGTTACTTTGACAGCGTAAAGAATGCCCCCAATGAAGGCAGTGAGCTGAACACCAAAAGACAGACTAGGTATTAATTAACGAAGATATGAAAGTGAGGAAATGTTCTAGGCAAGAAATAAAAGCAGATATTATGGCACAGAGGTGACAGAGGCTGGTGCATTCAGGGAACTGCAAGTGGTTTGCTTTTGCCAGAAGAGAGGGTATTTTGGGAGTGGCAAAACATGACGCTGAAGAGGTACTTTAGATGCCATGCTAAGGACTTTGGACTCTGGCCTAAAAAGCGTGATTCGAAATAGGAGAACAACCAAGGGTTTACTATAATAATCCAGGGAAGAAAGAATAACCCTCACAAATGATGACCTCTGTCAGTTTCCACACATGTCAGACATCTTTAATTAGTAACATCATCCCTTAAATTGGTTAGAAAAGAATCTAAATCCCATCCTCACCCCATTCCCATTCCCTTACCAACATTAACCCTTACAACATCACCATTGAAAAATTGGGTCAATCAACAGCAGGCACGAAAGGAATAAGTTGACGGTCTTTAGGCAAAGACATAAGCATCCTGATTCTTAGATTTCCCATTCTCCTTTGCATCTGATATTGTCTGGACTTACAAGCAGCTCTAATAAAAAAAAACTAAGGAACTCTGAGAGTTATTCATCTTACTCAGGACAAGCAACAAGAATCTGTTATGATTTTATGTCTCCAATTGTTCTAATCACAGTTTCTAATACGGAAATAAAACTGTTCAGTGTCTCCGTCCTTGCCTCATTTTGTTTCACAGAGATCTGTATTTCTGAGTTCTCAGGCTCCAACAGTAGTTCTGTTAAAAACAGACAGCCAGAATCATCCTGAGCACTGAGGTATGCTTTCCATGGCCGAGCCCCAGCCCTGCTCATTGCGATGGTCTGGATGTTCACTACTTGAAGGGCCATCTGGAGAGTATCAGCATGGACTGCTCCCTGCCAAGGCAATACTTGCTGATGAGCAACCTTGAGGCTGAGCCAAGTTTTCTCGAAATACTCAGCAGTAAGCTGGAGATTGGGAACTAGCATGAGGGCTCCAGAATCCGGGAGTTCTTGTATTGTCTCCTTGTTCTCTTCAGGAATCAGGGACCCTAAAAGAGTCAGAAAGTTTCTGTAAGAGATGTTCTTAATCTATAGCAGCTAAATTTTTTACCTAAATTCCCAAAAGTACACAATATGTACTTCTGGCTTTGGATAAATAGCTTAAATAACCAATAATGAACCTCTTTTTTGCTCACAAAGTCTTCAAATTCAGGCAAGTCTAAGATTTAGTGCTAGGATACTCTACTTTCTACAAATCATTGAAAAGATAAAGATTTACCATGATAAGATATAAGGTAAGGATTATTTTTACCTGATGTGGCAAAAGATGCAGTGTTAGGAAGCTCTGGGCCATGATGCTTTGCCCCCTGGCATTTAGAAATAGTTGCCCAGCGGGCTCTGCCATACACTGGCACCAGCGTGTTGAAGTCTGAGGCCCAGCTGTTCACAGGTCTTTCTGCTGGATCCTCCAAAAGTCCAAGAGAAGGGTCAGATTTGGGGCTACACAAGACCCGCTTAACTTCATCAATGCCAACTAAGAGGAGGCGATAATAGAAGAGACCTCGGTCCCGTACAGCCATATCCTTCTCCTCCTCTGAGGTAAGACAACAGATTGAGTTAGTTAAAAACAAAAATGCCTTCCTCCTACCCTCGTGCCAACCATAACAGGAGAAAAAAATCAAGGAGAGAAGACCCTAGATAGCATTAACATTTTCTTCTTGGATCCCAGATAAGACTCACCAAACAATGAAAGCTGTGAGAATTTTTACTATAGGTCATAGCAAGTACTATTTCCTTCTGAAAAACTTACCTATGCAGTAATATAACAAACGTCCCAGCATGTCCTGGCACTCAGCGGGGCGTGAGAGGAAAAGGCGCAGCAGAGCAGTGAGTAGCTCCATCTTAACAGCTGGAAATGTCTCTGACTTCACATTCTCTACAAAGTCCTCTAACACATAAGGAGCATTGGGAATTCTTTCCCCATGGACCCCAAGTAGCCAAATAAGTGCCTGTTTCCCCTACGGAATAAAAGAATTAGAACAGTTGCTCAGTACTTGGCTATCCAAAACACAGGAGATAGTGAACAATCACCAGTTTGCTTTTCCCCTAGTGCTGGCAGAAAAGGTATAATCTTTAATTTACTTCAACTTGCATTTTATTGATTCCCCCCTACTACGCTCTCTACAACAAATAAGAACAAAATTTTAATGCACAAGAGAAAACTCAAAATTTTCATAACCTATGCTGATTAAGCAATAAATAAGGCTTCCTCTGCTTTGGGGCCTTTGGCCCAATTTGGGGTTTAGTGTTTCAGTGGAAGCTATTCAAAGAGTCTCTCTAAATTTTTCATGAAAGGGGTTAACAAATTAAAAACCTGGAGTGCACATCACAGTCATCTGTGAAGTTTCTTAAAAATATATCTGTCTAGGCCCACCACTCCTGAATATTTAACCCAATAGACCTGGGATGAAGCCCAAACCTTTGGAGAAACTCCACAAATGATTTTGACTCTCATTCCAGTTAAAAACCCCATGAGTCTCTGACTCAAAACTATTCAAAAGAGCAATGGGACCACAAAGTATTTGTAGTAAAAAACATAGATAAATTCTGTTTTTATTTTTATTTATTTCATATTATTTTTTTGACATAGGGTCTCACTCTGTCATCCGGACTAGAGTGCAGCTCTATAACCAAAGCTCACTGCAACCTCCAACTCTTGGGCTAAAGTGATCCTCCTGGCTCAGCCTCCTAAGTAGCTAGGAATATAGGTGCATGCCACCATGCCTGGCTAATTTTTATATTTTTTAAGAGATGGGGTCTTGCTATGTTGCTCAAGCTGGTCTCAAACTCACATCCTCAAGCAATCCTCCCACCTCAGCCTCCCAAAGTGTTGTGATTACAGGCATGAGCCACCATATCTGGACTGTTTTTATAATTTATAGGCCATCTATGTCTGAAAGAGAATCTGAGGTGGCAATCAATTCTAAGAGTTTTCACTTCAGACATGGGGTGGAAAGAATAATTAGATTCCATTTCAGAGGGCATGGTCCCAGGCATTCCCCTTCTACCTAGAAGCAAAGGAAAATTACAGTCTACCTCGCTATCCTGAATGTTCTCCTCACAGCCGGGCAGGGCCTGACACACAGCTTCGGTACACTGAGGACACAACCAAACCAGGTCTCGGAAAGTCTGCACCACCACTATAACACATCCCAGGATACAAGAGCACAAGATTAAAGCCTCCACGTAGGAAGGAATCTTAAGAAGAGTCATGTATTCAGACAAGAATTCTGGCTGAATTTCTGTAAAACTGGTTTTGGAGGGGTGGTCAATGATTATCTGAGAAATATAATCACATGGGCAATAATTTCTCGAATGAATTTCTTATCAGACTGACATGAGGATAAATGATCTAATGTATGGGAAAGCATTTTGTAAAACGTAAAGCTATAAGCCAATATGGGGTAGTGTTACTATTGAATGATACTCTATAGACAGTATAAATGGAGTCACCATGACTGGGACTACGGTGAGGCAAGTGAGGTGTACCTAGGATGCAACGTTTAAGAAGACATGCAGGGTTGGCTCTTGCATGAACCTGAGAGTAAGTGCTTTCTTAAATTTTGCATCCTAAGCAACTTACTTGTTTTACCCTAGTGCTGCACCTGGAAGCCACTGCCTATAGTATACTTCCATAAAACAAAAAGAGGGGTAAAAATGGGGAAATAACAAGCAAAGTCATCCTAGTACCCTTCATTATCTATAGTACAGCCTTGTAGACTCATGGTAGCCTGAAGACTCGATACCCTATTAGATCTATAGACTCTATGCTTCTCTGACAGCAACAGATGATGATGTAAGGAGAAGTTTAAACCTCTGTATTACTCATTCAACAACAAATATTTTTTGAGCAACTACTACAGGCCAGGCACTTGGCAGAGAAATCCTAGAAAGGTATCCATTACCTGTAGTAATGTGCTCTTGTCGAAGACCCAGTAACTCTGTTAGAATCTGCACACATTGATCTGTATAAGTCCTGGCAATGCCACCTACAGAGTAAGAGAAAGCAGAAGAAACTGTTAAGTCAGATGTTAGTGCCTCATTCTAAAATCATTTCCCACCAAAGACAAAAGGGCCAGAGATACCAAAAAAAAAAAAAAAAAAAAATCACCCCTTGTTTGATGAAATAAAAAGAATCTAAGTTTGCTAAAAAGGGAACTTTCGTAAAACTGAATCAATTTTTCATTGACTACTAGAAAATTGACAGCTCATAAAAAAAGAATTTCTCATTGAACAAGGTTGAAAACGTACAGCAATAAAGGTATTTACATGGCAGTGAGATATGAGGCACCCTTTTTGTAGCAGCGTATCCACAAAGGAATATTCCTGCTGGGGATGCTAGAAAGCAGTCTCCTGACTACAAGGATTTCTATTCTCTTTGCTCCCTTTTCTCTGCCCCTAAAAATAACCATGCTTTATTCTAAATATGAGGGTTCTTTCTTCTCCTCTTACACTTGAAAGACTCTAAAACTTAGCTCCCCAGCTGCTTTCTTTTCTTTTTTTTTTTTTAACCAGAGACAGGATCTTGGCTCTATCACTTATAGCTCACTGCAAACTCAAACTCCTGGGCTCTTTGATCTTCCTGCCTCAGGCTCCTGCGTAGCTGAGACTACAGGCATGTGACACCACACCCAGATAATTTTTTATTTTTTGGATAGATGGGGTCTTGCTATGTTGCTCAGTCTGGTCTCCAACTCTTGGCCTCCCAAAGTACTGGGATTACAGGTATGAGCCACAGCACCTGGCCTGCTTTCAGTTTTTGAGTCACTGTAGCCTTTTAAACCCTAGACAAAGTAGTATGAAAAAGTCTAGATTAGGAATTATTCTGGGTTGGTCTATACTCAGCACAATACATAGCCTATAGTAGAAGCTCAATAAATGACTGATGAATTGACATAGGAATTTGAATCAGAAAAGGCAGATTATACTCCCAGTTTAGGAACTATATGATCTTTAGGTAATTTGATAACCTTCTTTGTGCCTGGGTTTCTTCATCTTTAAAATGGAGTTAATAACACTTGTCTACTTTTCCTGACTGCCTCATAAGACTGTGGTAAGATGATGTATAGGAAAGCATTTTGGATTGAAGACAACAAAAATTTTAAATATAGTTTGATTTGCCTGTATTCTCTACCCTGGAAGATATAGCAACACTAGTCTTTACCAAAAAAAAAAAAAAAAATCTCCCTTTCCCCTTGTTTGTAGTCCCTGACCCAATTCTTTAGTGCATGGTACTTTCTCTCTGAAGCAAGATTCATGCCCTTTTGCTCTCTATGGTTCCACTGACCATAGCTTTCTAGCTGGCTGGTCTAGGCTCTCAAAAGGAAAAGCAGCAGACACCTACCTATGGCAAAGATGGCAGCCTGGGAAAAGTCAGCAGACACATCCGTGCAGTACCCTCGAAGCTCCTCTAGCACCTGCTGCACGTTCTCATCATTGACCAGTTCACACAGCACTTCCACCTTCTGCAGTTTGATATAGTGGGGCTCCGAGTAGGAGCAGAAAAACTTTTTATAGTGGCTGCTAAAGTGACCTGGCAAACTATGCAAGATCTGGCGCACATGACAAAGGGCAGCAAAGCAGAGTTCACGGCTCTCTGAAGAACAGGCAGCTAGCAAAGGTCCCTTGACTCGCACAAGCACATCAGTCTGTACATGGGGAAACTTTTTTGCCAAGACCAGAAAGAGTTTTGTGGCTCCCATCACCACACCTGGGCTACTGCTCTTGAGAAAGCTGTCTAACAGATTGAGAATGTCGAACAATTCCTCCTCACTGCGGGGTTGGTAGCGTAGGAGAAAGTTCAATACTTCAGCCTGGCCCCACTGGTCCAGTTTTGACATTCTATCCAAAAAAGAAAACAAAAGTACTATTTTAGCAACAAAATTAGCACCATCTCCATGCTACTGCCACATGACCAGTCAGCTATTAATCATAACGAGGGGAGAATTCTTAAAAATAGGCTACACCATAATTGAATCATTCTTTCTATGTATTATATAAAGTTTACACAAAATAGGCTTTAAATTCCAAGATGTGTTGACGGTATAAATGCACATTCATTTAAGGCCAAAGACATGGGTGATCAGTGTACCCTGGGCACAGATTCTCTACATTTTAACACACTATAAGTACCTTAAGTAGAACATAATGACTAGAGGAGCATAGAACCTAACCCCTCAGGACATTTCTGCTCTCTATATCACCAAGAGAAACTAAGACCAATGAAAGAAATTCTCTCAGTGAAATGTGATGAAGTTAATAATTATGGTTAACTTTCTTTTCCACCCTGCAGAAGTTGTTCAAGACTTTGGTTGTTGTTGTTGTTGAGACGGAGTCTCGCTGTGTGTCCCTGGGTAGAGTGCAATGAAGTCATTGTAGCTCTCTGCAAGCTCCAACTCCTGGCTTGTAAGTGATCCCTCTGCCTCAGTCTCCTGGGTAGCTGGGACTAGAGGTGCACACTGCAACGACCGGCTGGGTTTTATTGTTTTATGTATTTTTGTTTTATTTTTTCTTTTTCTTTTTGGTAGAGACAGGGTCTCACTGTTGCTCAGGCTGGTATATGACTCCGGAGCTCAAGCAATCCTCCTGTCTTGGCTTCCCAGAGAGCTAGGATTATAGGCATGAGCCACGGTGACCCACCAAGAATTCTTAATTCAGCACATCAACAAGATCCCACAAGGATGTAGATCTCATAATAAAAAAAGTACGGAGGCATCCAAACCGATTTAAGAGATGATGGGCAATGGGCTTATTGATGACAACTCCTCCTTCCTGTTTCAGAATTTCCTCTAGAGACCTCAGGCAGTTCACAACCACAATTGGATCCTGATCACGCAGCAAACTGTATAACTCATTTACCAGGGCACCATCTATGAAAAAGAACAAAGACCTCAGATAAAAAAGAAAAGCTTCAGATCACAGGGATAGAGCCATAGTAATGGCTCCCCGCAGACAAAGCTGAACTTCTCTGCTACAAATTCAAGGCAAAAAAATTGCCATCTCCAGACTGTTCAAAGTAGCTAATGCAAAGGATCTCACTTGGGCCCCAAAGAAAGGACTTCTCTAATTTCAGAAAACACCAAGCCCTGCACCCTACTTAAAGAGACATGTGCAAAAGTGGGGCCACATTATTATTTTCTACTGAAGCTACATAATCTTTTACAAAGTCATACATAATAGATGCACAAACAAATACTGATCATGAGGGATTACACTGAACTTACCCACTTCAGAGTCTCCATGAAGATTATGCATCTTGGCACAACCAAGGACTGCTACCCTCCTGACGTATGAAGCCTTATCCCGTAAGCCATTGAGAATAGGCTGTTGGATATATTCTTGCACACCAGGCATCCTAAGCAACACATCCTGGAGTTAGCCAGATCCTGAAATACTAGTTTTAACATAATTCAGCCCCTCTTCACTTAACAGAGAATTTAGGAGATGTTTGAATATGTGTCTATCATCATAAAGAACTGGAGAAAGCCTCCTCCACCAAACTTAAAAAGCCATAATTTGACTTTTCATTTGAAATAATGCTGCACAGGCAGCAAATAAAGATATACTCACAATTGTTTAGAAATCTTAAACCAAAACTGAGGACTGTCTTACTAGACTGAGAATGGAAAAGTCCCTTTAATAAAACTATATGATATTGCTTATTAAGTCAAAGTACTAGCTAAAAATCTGAATTCAGGGTACAATAGTGTTTTCCCCAGTATTAAGGAACTCAAATAAATTGTCTTCATTAAAAACCTGCCCTATGATCTCCTGAATTCATCAGCCACGGAGGACCAGACAGGGAAGAGGGGACTCACCTGAGGCTACACATGCTCCGTAGTGCCAGCCCTCGCACCATGGGGTTGGGGTCCGAGCAGTCTTTGCACAGTGTATTAATGGCCAAGAGAGCCAGATCTGGTTTCAGGGGGGCATATGTGCACATGTACAGATAAACCAACTTCTTCTGAACAATATCTACAGTGGCACTGGCCTTCACCATTTCCATGAAAACACCAGACACGTCCAAGCCCTGAGTCATGTGCCTGAAACCAATACACATGGCAGGAAAAGTAAAATACAAATCTCCAACTTATAATGGAGGGGGTTTACTTATACATGTCCTGGTTATCCAAGTAGATCATGATCTCTTAAAAGGAAGCAACTAGGACTACTTTGTCTATTATACCACACGATACTTCACACCATGGGCCTGAAATAAACATTATTCTTCTATTCATTCAACAAACACTTATTGAATCCCTTGTACATTCCAGTGAAACTCAGCTTTTACATCCAGGGATATGCTCTGGGGAGACAATCTTGAAGAAGGTGTGACCTCTGGGAATTCAAAGTCTATTAAGGAGCCAGACAAGAACACCACTAATTACAGTATAATAGATAAGTATTTAAACAAAAGTAATGTACAAGGAGCAGAAAGGATCCAGAGGTCTGACGCTGGCAGGAAGCCAGAGACTGTTTCTTCACAGAGGAAGTAATATTTTAGCTGAATGAGCAGGAGCTCACCAGGCAGATGTGACAGAAAGGTAATGATATTAATACATGCTATGAGGCATGTAGATATGAGTAAGAACAACACAGTCTTTTGAGTGTCTGCAAGTGATTGGATTAACAGATTGTTTTTGGGTGCTATGATAAGTTTGGATTTTATTCTGCAGACAATTGTTTCACTGAGGTCTCCTACTAGCATCAGCTGAGATGTTGGTTAAAAACACAGATTCTCCTGGGTTCCATCGCACCCTACTGAAATCAGAATCAATCCCTGGACTGGATGAAAAATCTGCATCTTTAAAAAAAACACCTAAGGGGATTTTGTGCATACTAAAGTTTGTGAATCACAGCTGTAGGCAAGAGTTATATATCAAGATTTGTAAACAGGAAAATTCTGACTGAAATGAGGCAAGGTGGCCTACGAGGAAACTTCTGCAATTGCTTTGGTGATGAAGGCCTTAGCCAGAACAACAGTGCCAATAAAAAAGAGAGGATGGATATTTAGAATTATGAATTCATACCATCTGACATGAGAAGTAAAGAATCAGGTGTCATCAAGGATGCCTTGGCTGGCACAACCATTCACCAACACAAATATAAGCAGAAGAGCAGGTCTGGGGAGAAGGGACGAATGTTGGTGCTATTTTGCACATACCTTTGATAAATTATCCAGGTGGCAGTGGGGTATGTGGGTGTGAGGCTAAAAAAGGAGGTCTGTACTAGAATACATTACAGATCCAGCGTCAGCAGTAATTGTTCAAGCCTGTGATAGGAGGAAATCACCCAGCTGAGTAAAAGATATCCGACAAGGGAGACTGAGATGGTACTCCGGCGAGGGAGATTAAGACCGAATCATTTACTCTTTCGGGGCGGCCAGGGGTGGTGAGCCCTGATGGGGATTGCGACGGGGGTGGGAGTGGGGGCAATCAGGCCGCGAAGGGAGTTGGGTGATACCTAATCACTCGTTGGATGACATTCCGGTAGCGCAGCCTATCAGCTTGAATGTGAGGATTACACAGAGCCTTCTTCAACTCCTTCACCACGTCCTCAGAGCCAAGGTAAGGCATCTTCTCTAACAGTCACGGAGCAGTTCCCACAGATCCCTACGTAACTCCTGAGCTCCTAGTCGTGATGGGGGAGCCTGAGTAAAGGAAATATTGGTCAGTGAAAAGACTAAAGGCGTGATCTCACCCCAGGCTTGGCTTGGCTTCCCTAGGGCCGAAACCCAGGCCCTCTGACACTCACACTTCAACTCCCTCCGCTCCCCGGCGAGCCCCACCAAAGGCTCTACCCTAGACCCGCTGGCTGTTTGCTCCGCCGACAGGCCGCTCCCGCTACCTCTAGGCCCCCTGCCCTACATCCAGCCCCGCAGCCGACGGGCCGCAGACTCTCCCTCTCCAGTTCCAGTCTTTCTTGCGCCTCCGCGCAGTCGCCGTCACGGATAAGCCCAATCGTGCTTTCTGCGGAAGTCCCGCCCCCTCGTCCAAAGACCAAACGGAGTAGCCGCTACTCTCCCGGCGAGCGCGGAACGTAGGCCCCGACTTTAGGATGCCCTTCCCCCAACCTCTCACTTCCTGGCGCAGCCGCGCGGCTCCCTCTGGTGGAGCTGCGGCGCCCAATCGGAAATCAGCTACTTCGGCCTGTCTCCTCCCAGCAGCGCGCGCTTTGAGTGCCTGGCCCAGCCCTCGCTCCCGCGCGCGGGTTGGAGTGTTGAGCGCCTTCTGCTATTTGGACTCCTAATCTCTAGACTCCTACGAGAACGGTCATTTCCTTCTTTCTGCTCACAGTAGTAACTTATTCCTCTACTGAACTGGCTTTCTCCTAGGGTTTCTGGCCCTGTTCTCGCCCCAGCATGACGTGTTTCGGGGGACCGTTATGGAAGCCTTACACAGGAGCCCTGTCCCCGTGAAGTTCCCGCCGGTGACTCTCCAACCCCACTACCATGAACGGGGTCTTGATCCCCCATACGCCCATTGCAGTAGACTTTTGGAGCCTGCGCCGGGCTGGTACCGCGAGGCTCTTCTTCTTGTCCCACATGCACTCGGACCACACCGTGGGCCTATCTAGCACCTGGGCCCGGCCCCTCTACTGCTCCCCAATCACGGCCCACCTCTTGCATCGTCAGCTACAGGTATGGGGGATTGGAGTCGGCCTCCATGAGCTGGTCCAGGCGTCTGAGGGAGGACTCCCGATCTGTCACAGCCTTGGAGTCATTAGAATGGGGTCCAGGAGAACTGATTTGTACAACTGCGGGAGTTATTTGAATCTAGAAATGCATCTTTAGCCCAGAATAGGAGCGTGGCTTCTAACCTACTGACTTGAGATATTTCAGCTATAAGTTGAGGAGATCTTTTAGTCTAGCCAAGCAAACTGTTCCTACCTTTTCACATAAACTAAGTCAATGTTTCCCAAACTTCCCTCATATTAAGAATCCAGCTAATGTGCTGGGCAAATAGTACAGATTCTCCAGCCCTCTCCCCACCTCCACCCCATTTGATTCAGTGAATATGGCTGGTGTGGGTCCTGGATATGTGGCTGGAATTTTTTAAACAATTGCCCCCAAGGAGTTATTATGATCAGGAGAAAGTTTGAAAATCGCTGACTAGACTTTTTTTTAAAAGACGAGTCAAGTTCAGTAGTGAGAAGGAAGGAAAGAGTAGAATAAGGAGTTCAATCTGTGACTATGAACAATCAGGTGAGATAACTGAGTAACATTGGACCACCCTAGACTGTTTTCTGAACTTTTAATTTAAAGTACAAAGGGTGAGGTGGGTGGGGAGTGAGAGGAGGAAGGGCGGATTGCTTGGGAATCTCCATTACAGCTTCTGCTTCAGGTGGCTGAGGATTTGGTCAGCTTTCCTTGATTCATGTAACAGGGATAGCGCCTGGTCCAGGGAGGTGTCAGGGAGGGGAGTCTGTGGTCACTGGGATGACCAACTGTTTCCCCAGGTATCCAAGCAGTGGATCCGAGCCCTGGAGCTTGGTGAGAGTCATGTATTGCCTCTAGATGAAATTGGAAGAGAGACCATGACCGTAACCCTCATTGATGCCAATCACTGCCCTGGCTCCGTCATGTTTCTCTTTGAAGGATATTTTGGAACCATCCTCTACACAGGTGGGCCTCTGGAGGGGTCCCTCCCACCTTCCCAGCCTAGATATTACTTTTCTTGGGCAGTCTTAACTCATAACAGAAGTCTGAAGGCCTTCTAGCTTCATCCCGTATGAGTACAGTGACCCCTTCTAACTGATTTCCCACTCTTTTAAGAGTCCAAACCTTGTAAGGAATAGTTTAAAAATGAATAGAATGAAGACATTTCTACAAGGAAACTACGCAGCTATACTGCCTAGTTCAGTGCCAAGCCACGTAATAGCTTTTCCACAGACCAGTAGGCAAATGCTAATCCATTGTTGGAGGTAGGAGAGGCTTGTTTTCTAATTTTTTGTCTCTTACCTTCTGCCCCCATATACGTATTCTTCCAGGTGATTTTCGATATATACCATCCATGCTACAGGAGCCAGCCCTGATGTTGGGGAAACAGATCCATACTTTATACCTAGACAACACCAATTGCAACCCAGACCTGGTTCTTCCTTCCCGACAAGAAGCTGCCCACCAGATTGTCCAGCTCATTCAAAAGCACCCACAACATAACATAAAGATTGGTGAGTTGTTTCCCTTCCTTTTTCTCTCACCTGTAACTAGCGAATCTAGGTTCTTTGAGGGTTCTCACATCTTTCAAATCTTTGTGTAGCTCTTACCTTCTCCATGAAATCAACCTTGACCACCTTATTTAAAATTGCAACCTGCCCACCATCTCCAGTCCCAACTCCTAATCCCTTATACCAATTCAATTTTTTCTTTTTTTATAGCACTCATCACCTCCCAGTATACTTTATATGTTTTTAAATATGATATTGCTTATTCCCCATTTCCCCTGCCACCCCTCACACACACAGATGTAAACTTCTTGAGAGCATGGATGGAAGTGGGCATAAGCTTTGTGCGTTTGTGGAATAGAGAGTTGGTGACTCTCCAGTATGACAGTGGGCAAGGAGGCTAGAAAGGCAGAAAAGGGGCTGGAGTGCTGGTAAGCCATTTTGGACTTTATCCTAAACCAAACAAAGAGTTATTGAAGGATTTTAAGTAGAAGAGAGACAATATGGCACTCATCACTTTACAATATATTCCATAATTTACGTATTTATTGTATTTGGTTTTTATTGTCTGTCTCACCCTGCTAGAATGTAAGTTCCATGATGGCAGGGCTCTTTGTTTTATTATGGATATATCCCAAATGGGTACATTAATACCTGACACAGAAGCATTCAATTAATATTTGTTATATGAATGAATGAAATTTATCAGAACATAGATATTTAAGTGAGTGGTATGCTTGAAATTAGATACATTGTAAAAACAGCTAGAAAAAAAAGAAAAAAACAGCTGTATGATTGTTCTGGTGATTCCACAGCGGTACAAAATATTTTGGGGACTCTTCTTTTGGAGTTGCCTTTTGATATAGCTTATGAAAAGAAATTTTTATTTTAAGAAATATAATAGCTGAGTGTGGTGGCACATGCCTATAATCCCAGCCACTCAGGAGGACAAAGCAGAGGGTCACTTGAGGCTGGGAGTTGGAGATCAGCCTGGGCAAAAAGCGAGACTTTGTCTCTAAAAAACTTTTTAAAAAATTAGCTGGGCATGGTAGCACTTGCCTATAGTCCCAGCTACTCAGGAGGCTGAGACAGGAGGATCACTTGACCAAGCCCAGGAGTTTGAGGCTACAGTGAGCTGTGATCACACCACTGCACTCTAGCCTGGGCAACAGAGCAAGACCCCCTCTTAAAAAAAAAAAAGTAATAGATTTAGTTCTAAATGACTTCTTTGGTTGTTTCCAAAATTATAAGTCCACAAAAGGGAAAAGATTTGCCACCATTATAAATATTTTAAAGGGAGATGTACCAACTCTGAAAGGAGTTTCAAAATGAGATTAAACAAAGGCATTGAAAAAATTATATACCCTCCGGGGTGACTACCAAATCAACTGAGAAATATCCCCTACTCTCAGGATTGTTTAACTGATCATAAAGAAATATTGGCCCTAACCATTCTTGAAGTTTTAATGCAGAATTTTTCCAGAGAAGTACAGCTGGCTAGGAGGGTGCTGTGGTAGGACTCGATTAACTTTGCAAGTATATAATAAGCCGCTGTGCCAAGTATTCAATAGGCAGTGGGGATATAAAGATGAATAAAATATGGTCTCTGGCTTTGAGGGCCTGTAGTCTATTAGGCAAGGACCTAGAGAGGGGGAAAAGGTAGGAATATACAAAGAAAAAAATCAAGCTACATTTGTGCCCAAAGAGTGAGATTTTAAACTATAATTAGGAATAAAGTGGGTATAAAAGAAATGTGAGTTCTTTTAAGAAGTTCACAATCTGGTTGTGGATTTGAAATAGACCTTCAGAAAAGGTCTGAGAACAACTATTAAATAATACTTCCCGTATCTGTTACCATAGCCATTACTCAAAAATTCATGTCTCCATTTCTTTCTACATAAGTAGTATTTGGCTTTTCAATTGGAACTTCTACTTTCAGCTTCTTCTTATCTAGGCAAATAATATTGTTGCTGTATTTTTCTTTCTAAAGCCCTGCTCTAATGATATTATTCTTATGATTAGAATTAGATATTTTCCTGCTTCTGACTCAATGGCTCCCCTTCACTTACATGATTAGGTCCAAGCTCCTTAGCAGTACATATGTGTAAGGCCTGCTAATATATAGGCTTTGCTTACCTCTCTGATGTCATTTCTCACCAATTCTTTTTTCACTTTAGTAATATTGAACTAACCCCTCCTAAAATGTTTTCCACCATACCCTTTCCTTGCCAGGTTAACCCTGACCCATCCTTTAAGACTTAGCCCAGTTGTCATTTTCAGGAAACTTTCCCTAACTGCATCAATTGTTAGATACTCTTCTTTTGTGCCCTCATAACTCTGTATACATATCTTTAACATTGCCCTTAACTGTGTTTTTTCTGGATCTCCATGTAGGTTGTACTCCTTGAGGGCCGAGACCTTTTTTTTGTTTGTTAGTTTTCATAGTGCCTGCCACTTGTTAGGTGCTTTCTTTTGTTGAACTAAATAAAAGTGGATTCTGTGTGCCCCCCACCCCCCTGCATTCTCCATATATCTCAGCTCAAATGCCAGCTTCTCCCTCATGTACTCCCTGGATTGCTCCATAAATTTTAAGTGTTTTTGTTAAACATTTGGTTGATTTATTAGGATTCTCCAATAGCTTCATTCTCTTACTTTCCTCAATCCCTTTACCATTATTCAGGACTCTATAGCCTGGGAAAGGAATCACTGCTGGAGCAGCTGGCCCTGGAGTTTCGGACCTGGGTAGTATTGAGTCCTCAGCGCCTGGAGTTGGTACAGCTGCTGGGCCTGGCAGATGTGTTCACAGTAGACGAGAAGGCTGGCCGCATCCATGCTGTGGACCATATGGAGATCCGCCATTCCACCATGCTGCATTGGAACCAGACTCACCCTACCATTGCTATCCTTCCCACGAGCCGGAAGATCCACAGGTCCCACCCTGATATCCACATCATCCCTTACTCGGACCATTCCTCCTACTCTGAGCTCCGTGCCTTTGTTGCAGCACTGAAGCCTTGCCAGGTGGTTCCCATTGTCGGTCAGCGGCCCTGTGGAGACTACTTTCAGGACAGCCTGAGCCCCAGGCTCTCTGTGCCCCTGATTCCAGACTCCGTGCAGCAATACATGAGTTCCTCCTCTAGAAAACCGAGCTTTCTTTGGCTGTTAGAAAGGAGGCTAAAAAGGCGGCGAACCCAGGGCGTCGTGTTTGAATCCCCTGAAAAAAATGCTGATCGATCTCAAGCTGACAGAAACTCAAATAAGGCCAAGGAAAGGAAAATTTCTCACTGGCCTGGGGACCTTAAGAAGCAGCCCTGCTACCATCCTTTGCAGATCAAGAAGGAGTTGTTCCCAGACCTCTGTAGCAAAGAATGGAATGGGGCAGTCTCTTTCTGTGGGTCCCAGAAGAAGGTGACTGTGCCGACTGCCCCCTTGGGATTTTCAGTGCACTTAAGGTCTATAGAGGAGAAGTTTATTTGTCCAGAAACCAGGCAGGACATTGGTTTAGAGCCCCCCTTGGTACTCAGGGGAGATGGCCCAGCAACCACAGGGAACCAGAGGGCCTGGATGGGCCGTGGTTCTCCCCTGTCTCACAGCAAGGCCTCACCTCTTCTAGCTACTGAGTTCAGGGGCCTGGCACTAAAATACCTTCTGACTCCAGTGAACTTTTTCCAGGCAGGGTATTCTTCCAGAAGGTTTGACCAGCAAGTGGAAAAATACCTTAAACCCTTGCTGAAGTACAGACAGGAAAGTACAGAATGATAACCTTGTTTGATCCCACACTGCAATTTTGAAGATAGTGGCTGATGGCTGGTTGGGAAGAGTTTGTTTGGGGCCTCACTTTTCTGTCTTTACAGGATACCTATGGGCTTACCCTGGAACAGCACTTCCCAAAGCTTGTTCATTGGAATTCTCGTGCCTATGGAATCCTTAGTTTTATAGTTGACTTTTTGTTTTTTTGAAACAGGGTCTTACTCTGTTGCCTGGGCTAGAGTGCAATGGCATCATCATAGCTCACTGCAACCTCAAACTCCTGGGGTCAAGCGATCCTCCTGGCTTAGCCTCCCGAGTAGTGGGACTACAGGTGCACACCACCATGCCTGGCTAATTTTTTCTAATTTTTTATAGAGATGAAGTCTCATTATGTTGCTCAGGCTGGTCGAACTGCTGGGCTCAAGTGATCCTCCCACCTCAACTTCCCAAAGTGCTAGCATCACAGGTATGAGCCACCACACCTGGCCTCTAGTTGACTATGTTTAAGAAATAGTTTTCATTATAAATTCTTTGGAGTATGCATGAGCACATTAAAGGTTCTTAGGAGTCCTGTGGTAACTTAATCTGTTTAATTTTGTTTAACTGAGTATTTCTCAAACTTTTGTAAGCATGCATTCTTCTCATGGGTATAGAAAGAGATACAGAGTCTGAATCAAAAAGGACCAAGTTATTCTCATTGTTATTTTGTGTGTCATGGGCCATTTCCCATGTTCCCTTCTCCTTCTTCCCAGATAAAAGTCACTAGGTTCTGTTTTTTAAATTATGAACTGTAGTGCTAGAGGATAAAGTGGAGGTCCAAGTAGCACATTCCAATCCTGAATGTCACTGACTTGCTGTGACCTCCATCTGAGTAACTTCCTGTCTCTGCTTCTGGGATGTAACAGGAAGGGACAAAAGCGCTTTGGAACAGTGACGAAAAATTCCATGTCTGCCTCCTTCGTGAGGCTGTACAATTAGTGTCACTGGGGACCCATTTCAAACAGAGCCAGCTGGGTGCCTGGGCACCCCTCATCAAGACAGTACCTGGAACCCAGCTGAACATTAAGGCTCAGGGTATGACAAGACTCCCCATGCCTAGAGGCCCTGACAATTTGGCTGAAATAAAGTCACAAAAGATCAGATGTGCTGCCAGATATTCCTCTGATTGTACACATAGCTGGCATATTCGTTGTTCCCCCCACCGCCTTGATTTGAGTAGGGAGCCAGAGCACACAGCCTCTTTGTTTTAGTATCCAGGGAAGAGACCAAGGAGCCAGCTGGCTGGAAGGGGTGGGGGTGTGCAATCTGCCCTGTCCTTCTGCTCGTAACCTGACAAAATGCCAAACCAGTAAGCAGGACAGCCAATACCAGGGCCATGAGGGAATAGGCCTGAGAGAGGGCATAGACGTGGGGAGCTGGACATGGGGATAAAAACTGCTTCAGAATGGAACCCCAAGCCTTAGCAGTGAAGAAGGCTCTGTTTCTTGTCCAGGGGGAAAAAGAGTTTTCTACTATTGGAGGAAGAAATGAAGAGTTTAGAAAGCAAAATAAGTCCTTGCTCTTGGGCAAGCCATACACAGCTCTTGTTTTGTCAATGACCTCCGCTGTAAGTCTCCCAAGGGCCTGCTAAGAGCCCCAGCAGGCAAGGCATTTGGTGCAGCAGGGAACATGGGCATTGTCTGGCCTCGAATCCAGGGCACCCTGAGCCAATTGTGTACATAGCGGAGCCTAGTTCCTCATCTGTAAAATGGACTGCCTCTCATGATTGCTATGGAGATTATTAAATAATTGGTAAAATTCGCCTAGCTCAGTGTCTGTCACATGATGGGTGTTGCAAAAGTTCATTCTCCTTGGCCTCTGGTTCGTCAAAGAAATTATTCTGTATATAAAATAAGAAACTTTGGAAATCATTAAAAATAGAAAAAATTTTAATTCCCTCATGTAGATCAATTGGTATATTTTTTCTAGTTTTTTTTTCTGTGCATGTAAATGTGTTAAACATATATGTTTTTTTCAAAATTGGGATAATACTGTATATAATTTTATATCTTACATTTTACTTTCCTAATATCTTAAGTATTTCACTTTGTCATTAATATTTAAAAATGTCATTTTTAATATTTGTATAATACCCTAGCATGTTAGTATACCTTAATTAAACCATTCCCATATTATTTAACGTTTTGTGTACTGTGTTTTAAATTATGTATATTACAATGAACATTCTCATGCATACATTTTGCATTTTTGTTTATTAGAGTAAATTACTAGAAGTGGGATTACAGTTTTAAATTCTTGATGCAAATTATGCCAAATTGTCCTCTAGAAAGGTTTCCTTACCATCTTTTCTGCAGAAGAGGATAGCATTAAAATACCTTGAAGACTTACTAAATTCAAATGATACCACTAGAATACTACAATGTTAACATGTGGAAAACATCCCTTGTGTTAAGTTGATAAATACTTACTAAACTGTGTGGGCGGGGCTCAGCCTGACTTCCTTTAGGAGTCTCCAGCTGTCTCACTTCTGTATGGCCGAAGGTGGCTGGGAGAGATTAGGTAGTTCTTAGTACAGGGGTCCCCTGTATTGGTGTTATCCTCTACCGACAGCAGAGCCAGTTCACTCTTGGCTTGTGCTGAGTCACACCTGTTCCTCGAAGAGAATTCTATGTGAATTCAGATGGGGGAGCAGAAGCAAAAGGCTTTGAGGAATTTAGTTGTTGGTGACATGTTTGTATTTTAATAAGAAGAAAATTCCATTCTATTCTCCTAAAGTAAAAATGTCGGACTTCTTATACTAGAGCTTGGCAGTTGCCTTATTTGTTTGATTTTGCAATATTCTCTCAAATAAAAGTGCTGCATCAGGTCTATCTTTACGTGGCCAATTAAAATTAATTTATTTTTAGAATCCCATCTATGGGTGACCCCGTAGTTGTGTAAAGATCTTACAATTAGGCTTGAACATGCTGGGAGAAAAGAGGTTCCCTAGAGAGCCATTAGTTACTTGTTTCATGATCTGTGGGAGAACTTGTACTTTTCCACAAGGAGACTGACAGTGGCTTAAGTCCCTTTACCGAAAAAAGTCTGCCTGGCTGCCTTTGGAGGGCCATGTCTCACTCCTGACCCAGGTCGCTCTTTGTGGTAGGAAATAGACAAGTGAGTCTGCCTGTTCTTTCCTCAAGAAAAGGGATTTGGAGTTGGGTTCTCTATCATAGGGATAAAGCTCTCTCTGCGTTCTTAGAGGAGTTCTTAAGCAGAAGAAAGTCTGTGTGAGGGTCCATGTGCACATATTTTTGTTGCTACCACTAGTGAGTAGCTGTCCGTGTGTTAGTTCCTCCCACCGCCTACTCCCCTCATCTACCACCACCACAGCTGTTTTGTTTTGGGCTCGTGGTGCTTTCCCCTCTCTCCTCCCCAGGACATCCCACCTCTACCTGTACAGAATGATACTGTTCTCCCATATAATCATCTGAGTCCACACCTGCCTGTGAGGAACTCTCAAAATAGTTAAGCTTGGTTTTGCTTTAACTATAATGCTTTTATTTAACTATACCATTCTACCTTGACAATCTCATTCCTAGGCAACTTTGTCTTCTTTGACCATATCCTTGACCCACTGGGTCACAAAAAACTCCCAAAATCTTGAGCTTGGTTCTTTTCCTGGACAGATAGCTTATTGAATTCTCTTTCAATCACACAAAACTTCTGGCTAGCCTTGGGTTAGTCTTTGCCTTATAATATTTACACTATTATACTATGGCTGTCTTACCAGTCCTGGCTCCTCTCATCAATTTATAACAACTCTGGAGAGTGGAGGATGAAGAGTTTATCCAGTGCTACATACCATCCTCAATGTGCTCACCAAAAGGTGTGCTTTTGAGGAGCTAAGAAAATTGGGTTAAATCCACTCACCCTACTAATCAGGCTCTGTAGAGACAAAGAATTAGGGTGGAACCAGACTCCTGGTGTTTAATGAGTCAGGGATATAAAGTTTGGAGAAAACCTGCCTTCAGGAAGAAAAAAAAAACCTTTATCAGCTCAATTTCTTCAAATTCCCACCTATCTTCCAGGCTCATACCATAGGCTTTCTAATTTCCCTCTCAATGGTGAGATAAAAATCCTTCTTTACTTACCTCTTACTAGGAAGACATTTCCTCTACTCATAAACCTTCAAGAACCCATACTATTCAGCAGAACATTTTAGGGTCATATGATGCAAGGGCCAACCTATCCTTCCTGCCTTGTCTCCCAGGATTCTGTCTGTGTAAGACAATAGGCCATAGTGATAAAGGCATGGATTTTTGAGTTAGATGACTTGGGTTGGGAATAGATCCTGTGAGTTACTAACTGTATATTTAATCTCCAGCAAGTTACTTAGCTTTTTGGCACATGAGCTTTCTTATTTGTAGAGTGGGAATAATAATACCTACCTCATAGGGTTTGCAGGAGAATGACATGGGACACAGCAACCAAAGCACTTCCAAAAAGCATCCCATGTATTAAAAAAAAAAATTTTTGCCTTATTCTCCCTGCCACATCTTAAATTCTGGTTACAGTGGAGTGGCTAACATTCCCAATGCATGTCCTGAATAATGCCATTGGCTAATCCTACCTTCCAGGCCCAGAAAAATCTACTGAAAGGTTGGCTGATGACAGTACTTCCTAGTAGGGAGATTCCTGGAGCCACGTCTAGCCAAAAGGGCCATTACCTGAAGCATCCAAGGATTTGTTTGTCCAAATGGAAAAGGAGAGTAGAGTGAAATCGTAAGTTTCCAATGCTATGCTGAGCAGGTTTAACTGTAAAATCCTAAGGCAAGGTCAAAACACAACAGAAGTATAAGTGGTACATCAGAGGCCCAGAGAGGTCACAAAAGGCTTCAGAGAGGTCAGAAGAAATGTGCAGAGTAAAGAAGACTGGGCTGAGCATTTCAGAACACTGTGGGTAAACGACGGGCCAGACACCATGCTTGATTTGGTCCTAGATTCTGCCATACCAGCTCTATAAACTA